TGGTAGTATCAGAAGCATTATTCAGTAAGTCTGTATTTTAATAGCCGTAGCAGTGCCATGCATTTGAAAACTATAGTACGTGTATGTCTAAGACATTCATTATAAGATGCTTTATGATAAAATGCTCCGTGAAAATGGAATTTTGTAGACACCTTGAAATAACTCAGAAGCCCCCAGGAGTGACTCGTCTAGACTTTTTGGAACTGATGCTGAAATGTATTTTAAACTGTGAGTGAGCTCCCTCTGTTCTTGATGAGTAAGGTAAGCCGGGACAGCAGGGTGCCACATCTCAGGCTCCAGCCCGCCAGCTGGCAGGCTGAGCGCATCATGCAATGTGCCCCTCTAGGTAGGGTGCAGGGTCCCAGATCCCCAGTTCCCCTGCTGAGCATGCACAGAGCTTGGCAGTGGCAGCCAACCCTGCCCAGCAGAGCAACTGGGAGCTGACAGCAGCAGGGATCTTGACCCTCCCTTTCCCAGGCACTAAGATCAGTTTCCCTGGCGCTTTAGGGTTCACCTGCTTCCCATGACCTCCATCTCCAGCCAGGCAAGGGAAGAGGGGCCCAGGGGGAGTGTCTCCAGCCCAGGGAATGAGTGCTTGATATATGGCCTCATGGCCTCGGACAAGTCTCGTACTGCCTCGACCTGGGGCTTGCTCATCCGTGCCTTGAAGGATTGGGTTACCTGCCCATGAGTTCCCTTTCAGTGATGAGGTTCTGGGTTGGATACGGCAGGACCACCTCAGCAGCAGCCTGAAGATGCCCGTATCTTCAGGTTCGCTGTGTTCAGGTGTTTGCTAGTCAGAGAATGTTAATACGAAAAGTGCTGCCACTTCGCATACCGGCTCCCTGAAATGCTGCCATTCTTTGGCCGTGACACAGCACCCCTTGCAGGAGAGGCCCCACAGGCTGGTCAGCAGCATCTGAGGACCACTGTGCACTTCAGAGCTCTGCTTGCAGAGGGGCTGTCCAGCCTGGTGTCTTGGCCCTTTTGGATCCTAAATGTGCCCTGCACAGGTGGGAGCATCAGGCTTCCCCCGTGTCCTGTGTCTCTCCTTCTTTTTCTTTTTTTTTTTTGAGACAGGGTCTTGCTCTGTCACCCAGACTGGAGTACAGTGACATAATCATAGCTCACCATAGCCTCAACTGTCTGGGCTCAGGTGATCCTCCCACCTCAGCCTCCCAAGTGGCTGGGACCCTAAGAATGTGCCACCACATCCAGCTAATTTTAAAAAATTTTAATAGAGGTGGGGTCTTGCTGTGTTGCCCAGGCTGGGTCTCGAACTTACGGCCTCAAGTCATCCTCCTGCCTCAGCCTCCCAGAGTGCTGGGATTTCAGATGTGAGCCACCGTCTCCCCTTCTGACAAGAAAATACACTGAAAAATGTGTGCTCACCTCCTTCCACTGACTCCTGGAGCTGCCAGGTATTCCCTGGGCTTGGAGGGGCCAGTCCACACAGGAGCTGCCATTCTGCTGCCCCTCCCAGGAGACAGTGGAGGTGATGCCACAGGGACCCTCTCTGAGCCTGCTATCCTGGTCAGGAAGCTGAGCTGTGTTGCGGGTGAGATTATTCTGGAGTCAGACTGATCAGATCCAGACTACCAGCCCCACCACCCCCGGCTGTGTAACCTTGGGCGGGTTACTTCATGTCCCTGTGCTTTAGTTCCCTCTTCTCCGAAATGGAAGTGGCATGCCTTAGGTCACAGGGCTTTTTAAGGAGTGACGTGAGGCTGTGTAGGAAAGTGCCCAGCAGAGCGTTCACTTTTCAGAACCATCATGGCTTTCGTTACTATCAGAGCTGTTATTTCCCCCGGGGGCTCAGACCACTAGGCCTTCCCCATGCCCGTGGAATAGGGGACCTGGTCATAGCACTGCCTACCTCCTCACCAGCAGCTCCAGGGTAGTCCCGAGTCTCCCAGGGAAACGAGGGAAAACAAGGCCTTCCTCCCTGGGGCCTGTTTCAGCTAAGCTTGTCGCAGTGATTTGCCAGGCACGGGGTCCTTGTGACACCCTGGACCCTGGCTCCTGCTGGAAAGGGGCTCACTACAGACTTCGGGGCTCACAGGGTCAGGAAAGACCAGGTTGGGGGTGGGGTGGCTTCTGTGCACCTGCTTTGCATAAGGCCCTGGGCTGCAGGGAGACATCTCTTCCACCGCCAGGACACGAGCTTCTCTAGCCAGGGGATTCTGCCGGCCCAAGAAACATACGGAACAGAACACAATGGAAGGAGCTCTGCAGGAGGCAAGCCAGGGTGGGCAAAGGAGGAGCGGGGAGATAAAACAGTAAATGCTGGCTGCCAGAGATGACAAGAAAACACTCAGAAAGCCCTGGTGTGGACTGCCGTGTGACCTGTGCGATAGCCATGTGGCTACGGAGCACCTGGTGGCTGCTCTGGACTGAGGTGCACCATAACCATGAAATGCCCAGCAGGTCCGAAAAGCTTAGGGCACAGAATAGAATATAATAGAATATTATAATAGAATATAAATAAAGTATTTGGTTGGGAATATTTATATTGACATTATCTTGATTACACGCTGAGATGCTAATATTTGGGATACACTGGGTCAGTTAAAACATAGCATTAAAATTTATTTCACTTTTTTCTTTCTCCTTTTTAATTTAAAAGTGAAAGATGTAAAATTACATCTGTGGCTCTTGTTGTATTTCTGCTGGACAGTGCACTTGAGAGAAACTGATTAAGAGATTGGTGGAGCCGGTGTTTAAAACCGCCCAGCACTCCTCTGCCTGTGCAGTCCCTGTCTGTCTCAGACTAGCAAAGATTTAAGTGTTTTGGTATCCTCAGAAGACACTAGGAACTTGCAGCCGTGTGGCCGCTAGGGAGATCACAGTGGTTACCCACCCAGAGGCTCAGTTCTGGGCTCTGTGGCTGTATCACATGCCCAGAGCCCCTGGCCACCAGAGGATAGATGTACCCACTCTTGCCCCTGGAACATGCACCATGGGGATCATCAAACCATATTAAATAGCAATTCCTCTCAGCAATTACAGAGCGCAGAATCGTACCCTTTAGGGATTCACATCAAATGAGCTTCAGAGAGGCTGCAGGCGAGTGAGGAAAGCACAGCCATCAGTTCCTGATGCACATGAATAATTGAGCAGCCTAGAAATGCCACAGAAGACCATTTTGTACCGGCAGGGGACTTATCTGCCTGGCCCAGGTCCTTGGGAAACGCAGCCCCTGGCCTGCACCTAGAGGCTCCGTTTGAGAAGTACGGTGTAATGAAGTCGGTAGGAAAGGAGCGCCTCCCCGACATCCTGACATTTTCTACCCATGATGTCCCTACCCTTGAAAATCCAGTCTGTGCCAGGGAGCAGTGCTTTGGATGGAAAACAAACTCTTAGCCTCCCAGCAGCACCCAGCGACCCACAGGCTGCTTAGCAGGACTTTGGGGACCAGCAAGGCTTCAGTCCACAGAAGCCAGGGGGCTTCCTGTGCCCACCAGAGCAAAAATACTCCTGAGCAATATCAGTTTCTCATAGGTAGAGGCTCTGTTACCACTTCCCCAACCCAAAGGAGCTCATTTTGGCCTCACAGGCAACTCTCAAGGTGTCTCCTAGGCCAGATGTGCTGAGTGCCCTGGAGCAGGGTGCAGTGACAAGGCACAGTGACTAGCCTCAATCCCTGACCTCACTCGAGAAACATCCGTCAGGTGGCTGGCGAAGGGCCTGGCAGAGGTTAACAGTTGTTACTGGGACCTTCCTCTGGATCTGGTGATTTTGTGTTATCAAGAAAGGGTCTAAACGTCATGGCCTGAGCCTGGTCAGATCAGCTCAGTGACTTGGAGAGGGTTTCTCCTCCTGTACAAGCCAGGTTAGTGCTGGAGAAAGAAAAGGAAGTGAGCGGGAGCCCAGGAGATCCATCCTTATCCTCCAGACATGGTTATGGTTCCAGCCCAGCATCAAGCTCCAAACGCCTTTGGAATGGGAGAGAGAGAAGCCCCCCTTCAAGCCTCTGGGCTGGGCTGGGCAGGGCAGGGCAGGGCTGGTGGGAGACCAGCAAGGATGTGTGGGATCAGGTCATCCCTGGCCCCGGACCACCCTTCCCAGAACAGCGGTTAGCAGTGTGTGGTACAGGATGTGCAGGCCCAGGTGGTGCCGTGACTCCATGGGAGAGGGCTATCGTGGGCTTCACCTCTGCTCTCCCTCCCGGTCTTACCCACAGCACTGAAAGAGCTCCAGTGACCCTACACCTCGACGGGATCGTACAGGTCCTAAACTGCCACCTCAGTGACACGACCATTGGGATGATGACTAGGATTGCGGTTCTCAAGTGGCTCTACCACCTGTACATCAAAACTCCTCGGAAGGTGAGCCCCGGGCCCCTCCAAGCCAGGGAGCCTCTTCTGGGCCCACCTTGGTTATCTGGGGCCTGCCCGTGGTTGGTAGGATTTTTGTCATAGCACTTCAAGAGAGACCCTGGCCATCAGAGAAGTGACAGGTGCTACCAGGAGTCCTCGGTGGGTCGGGGAGGGAAGTGGTCCGTGGAGACCCGCGGGACACTGCACCGAGCGCAGTTCCAGAGCGAGGGGCGTGCTCACAGGCACCCCTCCTCTCTCTCCAGATGTTCCGGCACACAGACAGCCTCTTCCCTATCCTACTGCAGACATTATCGGACGAGTCAGATGAGGTAAGTCACCACTGCCACCCGTCCTTATGGAATGTTGGCTGCCCTGCCTCCCCTTGTTAGTGACTGATGGGTCCTTAGAGCTGAGATATCCCTATTTTGGTACGGTGCATCTTTCCTTTTGGTAAAGCTGTGTTTAAGACTCACTTTGGGGCCGGGCTCAGTGGCTTGCAGTTATAATCCCAGCACTCTGGGAGGCCAAGGTGGGTGGATCACTTGAGGCCAGGAGTTCAAGACCAGCATGGCCAGCATGGTGAAACCTCGTCTCTACTAAAAATACAAAAATTAACCAAGCATGGTGGTATGTGCCTGTACTCCCAGCTGCTCAGGAGGTTGAGGCGGGAGAATTGCTTGAGCCCGGAGGCAGAGGTTGCAGTGAGCCAAGATCGTACCGTTGCACTCCAGCTTAGGCAACAAAGTGAGACCCTGTCTCAAAAAAAAAAAAAAAAATCACTGGAGACCCTTCTGAAGCACCTGGGGCTGGGTGTCAGTGAGGGAGGTGGCAGAGGGCAGGTGGGGAGCTTGGTCTTGGGGTCGGGCTGCCCAAAGGCAAGACATTTAGTATCTCCGCATCTCAGCATCAGTTTTCGTCTGATCGATGGGGGTAGTAACCACGGGGGATGTAAGAGCAAAATGATCCACATAAAATGCTAAGCACGATGCCGGGCCCCTGCAGCGCGCTCAGTTAGCGCTGGTTGTGTTACTCATTTCAGCTGGACTCCATCGCGATCTCTAGTTTGAAATTGGACTCTTAAGCTTTGCCTTTTGGGGGCCACCAAGAGCTGCTGCTGCAGAGGGAGAGGCTGACCCAGATCCCAGGCAGCAGGAGAACCCTCCATGAGAGCCAGAGTGCAGAGGCTGGCCTGGGAGGTGGAGGGGACACTTGGGTCCTCCTGTCCTCTGGGCAAGAGTCTCTGCAGTCACACACGCCTTTCTGCACACCATTCTCAGCCGTGCCTATTGCGTGGTGTTCCTTTACAGGGCTCCCCTGCCTCCCAGCCAAGCGGCAGGATTTGCAGCCGGGCATGCTCATTGCACGGCAGCATCCCGTTCCTCTGTCCATACCCGCCCTTCAGGCTGCGTGTCAGATGCTGACGGTCTAAGCCGAGCCTCAACCCACTTTCCTCTTCCGAGCTCCCAGGCACTGTGAGCTGCGGGCAGAGCTGTATCTCCATGAGACAGCCGGCTTGTGAATCAGCAGACCTGCCCACACTGCAGAGAATGGACCAGGCTGGGTTGGGGGAAGGGAGCGTGCTGTGGCTCACCATGCCCCATGGAGTGAGGCTCCTCGGTTTTCCCTGGGCTGGTGCCAGACTTGTGGGGGGACCCAGGCAGCTGTCCTGCAGCCTGAATTTACTTTCCTGATCCTGGGCTGAAGAGAGAAATGGACAGGCAGGTATCAGCCTCTAGATCCTCTGAGGTTTTCTGCATTACCAGAAAAATCCAAAACAGATGGTCTGTGAGTGTGCCCTTGGCCTCTCCTGCCTACCCCCCGCCCCCATGCACACACACACACACACACCCTCTCTTCCTGTACCACCCCCTGCAGTACGAGGCCCAGGTGGACGTGGCCCATTCTGCCTGGAGTTGGGAGTGACTCACTGCACAGTCACATCCCTCATTTCAATACAAAAAGGAAGAGCAGAACCTTGCTGATTGGTTCCTTCCCTAGGACTTCGCTGGAAGCAGCTGAGTTTTCAGTCCTTTAAATTGAGTTGTTTAATCCCATCCAGCTTTCTGTGCTGGAAATTGGTTTTTGTGTGCGTGTGCACTTAAAGGGAGCGGGCGGAGATGCAGTCCATTAAACAGCACTGTTCAGGCTTCGGCTGTGGAAACTCGATTTGCTGAAGTGCCAAATGTTGTCAGGGCTTTGAGGCACGTCTTGTGGGCCTGAACTGGGGAGAGCATGGAAGCTGCTCTGGGGGACAGTTGACGACAGTTGGGGGAACCATAACGGCAGTGAAGAGCCCCTGCTTCCCCTTCTCTCTAGAGGAGGGATTTGGGGACCTTAATCATCAGTGGTGAGTCCTGATTCTGCCACGTCCTGGTTCCTTTCCAGAATCACATTCCTCAGTGTCCCCTGCTTTGTCTTTGCTGAGCCTGAGGGTGTGCTGTGTGTTTGACAATGGGAACACAGCCATGAACGAGACAAAGCCCATCTTCTCCTGAAATTTGCTTTCTACGATATCTAGAAAGGGCTCTCAGGATTTTTCAAATATTCCCATACACAGCCCTGATCTTGAATTGGAGCTCTCTGGGATTCAAGATCATGAAAGCCCATTTGGTCAAGCAGGAACATAGACAGACAGGTCCCCTCCCACCAGAGTCCTCACTCACGGAAGTGAACCTTAGTGCTCCCTGCGAAGGCTTGCACATCCAGCTTGGCAGCCCTGCAGCACTGGTTGTGGTGGAAGACTCTTAATTGTAGAAAGTCATTACCGTGTTAGGAACCACGCTAGACCCTTCACCTGTGTCTGTAGAACCCTCACAATGGCTGTCTGCGGGGAGTCCTCTTACTTCCATTTTGCAGTTCAGAAAACAAAGTTCTGAGGGGTTCCTGTGACCTGCACACAGCCAGGAGGTGGTGGAGTCCAAACCCAGAGCCAGATCTGTTTGACACTAAAGCCCTGCCCCTCAGTTGCTTCCTCACCGCTGGAGTCTCAGCCAGCGTGCCCCCAGCCCCCACGTCAGCAGCGGGACAGAGAGCGTGTGTGTGGTTATATCTCCCTCCTCATTTCCTCGTGATTTCACCAGGGGAAGGTTTTGTAGTCTTTTTCTCCTGTTCCAGTTCTTAAGCGTGGAGAGGGGTGTATATTTTTTGTTCTTTGGGGGGTTTTTTGAGATGGAATCTCGCTCTACCGCCCGGGCTGGAGTGTAGTGGTGCGATGTCTGCTCACTGCAGCCTCCACCTCCTGGGTTCAAGGAATCCTCCTGCCTCAGCCAAGGATTACAGACAAGAAGCTAGGTTTACAGACATGCACCGCTATACCCGGCAAACTTTTTGTTTATTTAGTAGAGATGAGCTTTCACCATGTTGGCCAGGCTGGTCTCGAACTCCTGACGTCAAGTGATCTGCCCGCCTTGGCCTCCCAAAGTGCTGGGATTACAGACATGAGCCACCATGCCCAGCCAGTATATGTACTTTGGAAAAGCTCCCCCTTCAACCCCCATATCCTTCGTCTGCTTTTCTTATTGCTCTGTAACAGCCCTTTGTATATTTGGGACATTCGCTTTGTCATCTGTGTTGCAAATGTCTTGCTCTCCTGGGACGGTTGTGATAAACCCACATGCTCCTTCCTCTTGCTGAGAGCCACTGCTGTCAGGGGACAGTGCGCTCAGGTATTGGTGATGCAAGAGCTGGCATGGGCGCAGCAGAGCCTCAGAGACCCAGCCAGCCATCTCTCACAGTACCACGGGCGCGTGGCCTCACTGGGGTGTCTTGTCTGCCATTGTTCCCCAGTTCCACCAAGTGACACCTCGTTAGTCTCCGCCCTCTGGCATCCTCAGTTGTCTCTGCCTTTCCATTATTCAAGATAAGTGGCTGTTTCCTCAGTACCGCCTGCTCCTTGCAGACATTATCTGAAAATCCGTTTTGTGAAAAAGAATTTGCAGGTGTCAAATTAATATTCCTGGCACTGGTGTAGAAATCCTCCCATAGCTACAGATCCAATTGTTTTTTAAGTGAAAATTTGACCCTGATTTCTACAGTGCAGACTGCAGGGTGCATGCTCACAGCATCCTGCTGGGTCCCTGTTTGGGAGGTGGGGCTGCTGCTTCCCCTGCCCAGAGGTACCAATGGTCGGCTGCCTGGCAGCCAGGCAGCCGCCATGCTGCCTGAGTGAGTTCTGTCTATAAAATGGCCATAGCCCCACCTGTGAATACCCATGGGATGGGGGTCCTCTCCATGGTCCTGATGGTGAGATC